CTTCGGAGTCTGTGTCTCCCTCTCTCCCTGCCCCTTCTCCCACTCACATTCTGTCTCTCTCTCTGTCTTTCTCTGTCTTTCTCTCTCTCTCCTTCAAAAATAAATCAACATTTAAAAAAATAATAAAATGGTGCAGCCACTTTAGAAAACAGGTGGACAGGGGCGCCTGGGTGGCGCAGTCGGTTAAGCGTCCGACTTCAGCCAGGTCACGATCTCGCGGTTCGTGAGTTCGAGCCCCGCGTCGGGCTCTGGGCTGATGGCTCAGAGCCTGGAGCCTGTTTCCGATTCTGTGTCTCCCTCCCTCTCTGCCCCTCCCCCATTCGTGCTCTGTCTCTCTCTGTCCCAAAAATAAATAAACGTTGAAAAAAAAAATTTTAGAAAACAGGTGGACAGTTCCTCAAAGGGTGAAACACAGAGGTATCACATGACTCAGTAATATCACATGACTGCGTATATACCCAAGAGAATGGAAAACATGTACTCACACGAAACCTTGTTTTTAACACAAAAACTTGTACGTGAACGTTCATAGCGGCATTATTCATAATAGCCAATTAGTAGACACAACCCAGATGCCCATCGACTAATAAATGAATAGACAAAAAGTGTTATATCCTTACAATGGAATACGGTTTGGCCCATGCACAGAAGGCTGCATGTTATTGGTTCCAAATATGCGGCGTCCAGGACATGCAAAGCCACAGGGACAGGAGGTAGATTTGTGGTTGTGCAGGTTGTGGGGGGTGGGGTGCCATGGAGGGGGACCGATACTGGGCATTGGTGGTGTTTCTGGAAGCACGCAGATGTTCTGGAATCTGGAATCTGATGGTAGTGATGGGCCATGACTTTGTGAATATACTAAAACCCGCTGTTACGGTATACTTTAAGGGGGTGAGTGTGGGGCTCTGTGAATTATATCTTAATTAAGGGGGAAAAAAGCCTGTACCTCTTTTTACTCCCGGTAGAATGAAGGGTCTATTTCCTGGGACCCTTTATGTCTACCTGGCATATTTTTTTAAATGTTTATTCATTTTTGAGAGATAGTGAGAGGGAGACAGAGAGACAGAGACAGAATGCGAGAAGGGGAGGAACAGAGAGAGAGAGAGGGAGACACAGAATCGGAAGCAGTTTCCAGGCTCTGAGCAGTCAGCACAGAGCCCGACTCGGGGCTCAAACATACGAACAGTGAGATGATGACCTGAGCCGAAGTCGGACGCTCAACCGACCGAGCCCCCCAGGCGCCCCTCAAGTCCACCGATACTTTTTAAAAAAAGGAACAAAACATCAATATTGCAATACTGGTTTTCGTTCTTGCGGCAAAGTTATCAGATGATAACCATGGATTCTCAGGAAATAATACTGGTAGGCACACAACAATTACGTAACGAGTTGTGTATGAGAGTGTCGTTTACGGTAGCGAAGAGAGCAAAGTAACCCATCTATCTAACAGGAGAATGACGTTAAGGAAATTATTGTAAATCCACACCACGAAGTACTTTTTAGGCGCGTAGATGTCTAAATCGTACATTTAAAATGTCTAAGTACTACATTAAAGTAATCCTGTCAATGAGTACCTACCGACATAAAAATGTCTGTGGAATAATGTTACTGGATAAGGAAAAAAAATACAGATTAAAAATAAATAGCATAGACCCGTGGTATAAATGCATGTGTATTAAGTATATGTAGGCATATATGTGTGTGCACTCTGGGCGGAAATCGAGAATCAGAACCTTAACCGACTAAGCCACCCAGGGGCCCCAAAAAGATGTTTCTATTTTTTTTTTTTAATTTTTTTTTCAACGTTTATTTATATTTGGGACAGAGAGAGACAGAGCATGAACGGGGGAGGGGCAGAGAGAGAAGGAGACACAGAATCGGAAACAGGCTCCAGGCTCTGAGCCATCAACCCAGAGCCTGACGCGGGGCTCGAACTCACGGACCGCGAGATCGTGACCTGGCTGAAGTCGGACGCTGAACCGACTGCGCCACCCAGGCGCCCCAAGATGTTTCTAAAGGGAAGCTTAAAGTCCTGATGCCCAGGCTACAACCAATTAAATCATCGTGCTAATTTCTCGGGTGGGGACCAGGTCTCGGTAGAACCTCATGTGCTTCCGAGGTGCAGTCCTGCCCTGGTCTATCCACTCTCCGTCTCACCTCCAAAGTTAAAGGGCTGTGTTCTTAAGTGGCTCCAATCTCTCTTCGTGCGTTTGGTCCTCAGGAAGCGAGGCCCCGTGTTGGGCTTATGGCAAAGGAGCCGGGGCAGTTTCTGGGGTCAGGACGTCCACACTGTCTCTGCGGCCAGCAGGACTGCACCCGCCTGAGCCTCCCCCAGGTTCTCCGAAGAGCGAAGGTTCTCTCTCTGTGGGTTCCATCTTGCTTCGTGACAAGGTGGGTCACAGCCAGAGAGGGAGACGGAGCCACTATTGGACTCTAACTATGTGCAGGACAAGCGAGTCCAGAAGTTTTCAGAGACCCTAATGGCACCGAGTACCTCGATGAGCCCAACGTGTAGGGAGACAGTGGGGTGGACAGCTGCCTGCCCCACCTCTGCAGCCCCCCTCCCCCAGTTTGGCCCACCTGTCAGGTCCCAGGGGGAGGCGTGGGGCTGCGTCCTTCTAGGGCGGGAGGAGGAATCCCCCCTCTACCCTTTACGTTCTGTGGCTGAGATCCATATTATAAAAGACAGATGAACCAGAGAAAAATCACAGAAATGTAATCGTATGTCTGCCTCATGTGCACGTGGGAGAAACCGGGAAACGGAGGGAAACTCCCCGGGTGGCCCGAGCCACCGCTACAAATGCCATCGTCAGCTGAAAGTGGGAGGGGGAGGGGCCGTTACAGGGGTCACGGGGAGGGGCCCCGAGTTTGTCATGCAGATGGGGTCTGGGCCTCCTCCCGGTAAAGGGTTACTGGAGATTCTGGGGCCCCTTCCTCTCCAGGTACCAACCGACCGGAACGCCCTTACAAATGTAAATTTCTTCTCCTTTGTTTCCAGAGATTCTCCGGTGTCGCCTTGTTTCTTAAAAAAAATCAGCTCACAGTAATCCTTTTGCCAAAAGAGCACACCACAGGCTGGCTTATTCACCTACCCTTCACTGGCTCTCCTGCCACAGCCTCCACCGGTCACCACAGTCGCCTCCAGGTCTCAGGGCCACCCCTCCCCCCACCCCGAGTTGGCGGCCGTGAGGCTTGGGCTGTGTGCGGGGTGGAAGGAAAGACGTAGGACAAGCGGAAATCTGGATGCCAGCCTCAAGCCCCCCACGTCTGAGCCGCCGGACCCGAGTCTCTCTGACCCGCACCTGCCGCAGCTATGACACAGGAATGAGACTTCCCGCCTGCTCGCGTGTGAGCGTGTGTGTTCACAGCAGCGGATCTCAACCCGGCTGCCCTGGAATTCTACCTGTCCCACCTGCAGAGATGACCGGCTCATGGGCCTCGGGGCTGCTCCAGAGTGACTCCAGTGCACGGCATTTCAATCACCACAATCAGAGCTAATATTAGCTGGCTTCTAACGTCGCGTGGCACCCGGAAGAAACAGAGGAAAATGTCCGCTTGTGGGCATCATGGCCTTCACTTGAGCTTTTTGTTTCTTTCCTGTGTGTGCGTGTGTGCATTTGTAGATAGAAGTATAGTCAACATACAGCGCTGTGTTCGTGCCTGCTGTGCATCGTACCGATTCAAAAATTCGACACATCTGGCTCCATGCACATTGGTGCCAATGGCCAGATGCCATTTTTTTTGGCTAAATAATATTTTCTGTATGTATATACACACCACGTCTTCTTTATCCATTCATCAGCTGACGGGCACTTGGGCTGTCTCCACATCCCGGCCGTCGTAAACCGTGCTGCCCAAACATCGGGTGCATGTGTCTTCTTGAATTAATGTCTCTCTTTGCTTTGGGCTAAATACCCAGTAATGGAATTGTAAGAGCCTATGATAATTCTTGTTTTAATTTTTTTGAGAACTCCACACCAACTCTTGCTCCCACCCACCATGCGTGAGGGTTTCCTTCTCTCTACACCCCCCCCCCCCCAGTATTCATTATTTCTTGTCTTTGGATTCTAGTTATGGTCTCCACTCCTTAACGATAACATTCCAGGATTAGCAAAACAGTATTTGGGCAGTAAGCACAGATTGTATGCCTATATATAAATCATTTTGTAACTATATCTCTGAATTATTTTATTAATACGCGTGTTGTTCTAAGTCGTGTAATACAAAGATGATACAATAATCACACGACCGGCGTGCAGGTAAGGATTTAGCTGCGTTTAGAAATGGAAACTCTTGGGCTCTACCCTGGACCCGCGGAATTAGAGCCTAGTGCGCAATCTGTCTCCGCCACGCTCTCCCGATGACGCTGGGTGCTGACATGTGGGGAGCAGTGTTTCGGGACAATGGCCCTCCACTCATTCGAGCAGCGAGGGAGGCTTGTTTGAAAACGGTGCTAACGCCTGGACCTCAGAGCGCGAGCCCCATCCAGTTGCCGGGAGCGAGGTCCAGTTGTTGGGGGTTTTTAAAGTTCTCCAGGGTGTGAGGTGCCTGGGTGGCTCAGGGGGTTACGCATCCAACTCTTGGTTTTGGCTCAGGTCGTGACCTCCCGTTCGTGAGTTCGAGCCCCACGTCGGGCTCCGCACTGACACCCAGGAGCCTGGTTGGGATTCTCTCTCTCTCTGCCTCTCCCCTCCTCTCCTTCTCTCTCAGAGTGAATAAATAAACTCAAAGCCCTCCAGGGTATTCTAATGCATTCAGGTTTGAAAACCATAGTTTTGAAAAGAAAGATAGCTTCAGGCAGAAACCTGATGAAGAAAACACACGCACGCACAGGCAGACGCACACACACGTGCACACGCACGCACGCACGCGAACACACGTTTGTGCACACACACCTCCTGCACACTTACACGTGCACACAGCAGAAGCCCAGGCTGCCCCTCCAGCCTGCAGGGACGAGTTGCAGAATCTGTGATGTTTACGACACGATTGAGCTCCTCTCTTTCAATAGTGACCTTTGCTTAGGTTGAATCATTTCCTTTGGAAATAAAAGAAAATGCCTCCATTGTTTTGGACGAGTTTTCTTCATCGTTGAAAAAATCTTGCAAAACAACTTTTCTCCCACTGGGAAGCCTGAAGCTTCCTCTCGATTCGGTCTCCGCGGACCCGAGCAGACAACCGCATCATGCTGCGGGAGAACTCTTGATTTACTGGGGACGTTTTCACGGAGGAGCTGAGGGCACCCTTGGACCTGCCCCCCCCCCCCCCCCACCCACCCCCATTTCGCAGCTGGGAGCTGAGATCCGGACGGCCTCCAAGTGCAGTGCTCGGGGCTGGGCGGAAGGTTAGTCGCCAAGCTGGGAAGGGGACCGGCCTCCCGCCACCTCCTCTAGTCCGACTTTGCCAGACGACGTGGCGTGGACAGTGAGCACCTCACCGGAACCGTCTCCGGTGCGGCCGGGGGGGGCCAGCTGGTGCGCCCACGAAACGCCGGGCACCTTGGCATCAGCAGGTCCGGGGTCGGATCCTGCCTCGGCCGGTGTCAGCTGTGAGGATTCTGACACGTCCCTGAACCTCTCTGTGCCTCAGTTTCCTCCTCTGTAAAATGGGGGGCTCACAGTGAGGACTGAGTGGGTTAATTCACACAAGGCGCGTCAAGCAGCGGCTGAACGTGAGAGTGAGCGTCGTTCTTCTAGTCCCCGAGGGTTTTTGCACTGAGCGCTCTGGGAGGCTGTGTGCTGTGCCCGAGGGACCGGACCCTCTCACCCGGGCGACGGTGCTGCTGTCCCGTCAACAAATGTGAGGACCGATGTTTGGGACCTGGGGGCAGAGGGAGGGCTCTCTAGATGGGCCATTTCTGAGCATTTTTGCTCAAAGGGCAGCCATTCATTTGGCCCCTCACCAAACCATGGTGACAGCTGCCAGGGGGTTTCTTTGAGGCAGTGAGGGGCCAGCTGGGGACCCTGGTAGCCACCAGCAGACTCTGGGACTGGGGACAGGGTTTGTAGCCCCAGCTCTGGCCCCGCCCAGCGTGCCCTGGGACATGGGGGCTGGCACCTCTGTCTTCCGGCCCCTCGCGGTGCTACGACCTGGCGTCATTTGACCCTCTCTGTTCCCGGCAGTGAGGGCTGGGGGCTGGGGACGCTGACTCTCCAAGGGCCCCGCCCAAGATCGTGGTGCGAGACACCTGGGGGGGTGCCCCCCATGGCACCCCGCTCCCTGCACCTGGCTCTCCCTGCCTTCCTCCCGCCCTCCACCAGCCAGCTGCTCTGGTTTCTCCTTTCTAGTAGAAACCCATCCCCGGCTCCCAGCTCCGCCCGGACGCGGCTGAAGCCTAGGTCTTTGGACACAGTGACCCTTCCCGGACAGCGGTGGCCCACAGTGGCTCGTGAGTGACCACTCTCAGGAAACTGAACTGATACTCCGCACGACTTCTTGGGTGAGAATGCCCTGCCCGGGGGGAGCGACCGGCTCAAATGACGGAAATTTCCGGCGCGCTGGCGGGCCGGGCCTCGGGGAAGTGGAGGCAGAGCCTGAGCGAGGGCCGGCCGGGCAGCCGGGCCCCGACTCCGTCCCTCCACCGACGACGCGGGGCGGCAGGTTGGATTGAGTGCACTTGAGGCGCCCCAATCCGGGTGTTTCCTTCTCTCAGGTGGGGCCCGGGGATCTCCCCGGAGACTCAGCTCTTGCCCTGCACTCTTCCTACCTCCCTGAGGGATCCCAAGGTACCTAGAAAGTTCCCTGCCGCACCGGCTCCCTTCCAACAGCTTTGAGAGCTTGCAGGCCTCCTACCCTCACCTGGGCCTCCACCTTCCTGTTCAGGGAGCCGAGGCCACAGGTGTAGCACATGCTGCCGAACCGCAGGGTCTCCGCTCCCTCCCTGCAGGCCCCGGGCTGCAAGCCTGCAAGGCAGCCGGAAGAGGCCGAGGAGGAAGGGGACCCCGGAGGCCAGAGGACATCCTGGGCGCAGAGGTAGGGGACCCCAGCTGGGTTAGGAGGAGGCCACGGGCACGGGGGTTGGGGGACCCCGGCTGGGTTAGGAGGAGGCCGCAGGTGCTGGGGACGGG